GTGGCAGATGGCACTGTACTTGCTGTCGCAGATGCCGGCATCAGGAATTGTGCCGAATGAGATAAGCTTTAGTGCTTGCATCAAATCATGTGGCACAGCCCGCATCTGGGAGCTGGCCTTGTCGCTTTTTGCCTCGCTAAGAGGGAACCAGCTACGGCCAGATTCATCTTCGTATGGACAAGCCATAGATGCAGCTTGGCCCGAGGCTGTCGTTTTCGAGCTTTTTGATCAAGCCATGCAGGACCAGACGTGGCCAGACATGTTGCAGAGAGGTGGAGCTTGGCTTGATCTGCATTACCACTCCTGTGGTTCAGCGATTCTTGCGGTGTCGTGGTGGCTCGCAGAGGTTGTCCCTAAGCGGCTTACCCGGACGCTCAGACACGAATCGATGTCGTTCGCAGTCATCACAGGCTGGGGGAAATCCCGCATGCCCTGGCGACCTGCTGGCTCAGACCTCCAGGTGTCAGTCCGCAGTTTTTTGGATCAACGTGCCATCCCGTGCAAGATTCATCCGCAGAATCGTGGGCTTTTACAGCTCAATCTTCGAGGAATCGACCCAGGCCAGCTTCGTAAACTGTACCCATCCTCACCGACATCACGAAGACAGTGATCGAAGTCTGACTGAGACTCTCAGACCCTGCGGGTGTCAGAGATATCCTAAACCCTACACCTTCAACCCAAAACCCTAAACCCTACACTCTTTTCGTGACGATCCGAATCTGTCCTTCTCCCTTCTGACACCGGTCAAAGAGCGGAGAAGTGTGTTGGACATCGTCCTTCTGGGATCATTTCTGCACCCTGAAACCTGGGCCCTGGCTTAGGTCACTCATGATCACCCTAAGCCCTACCTTAACCTACCAAAACCTACCTTCTTTGTAGGGTCCCTATAAATTCCATATTAGGGTTTATAGTTTAAGGTATAATCGACCCTGAAGATTCAAAGCCCTAAGCCCTAACCCTAGTATACGACCTTAACCCCCAAGAGTGGGTAAACATCATGGCCCAACACCTATAAAGCGCTGTTATTCTACGTACCCCTTTGGGTCCAGGTGTAAACCCTAAACCTTCAAAGCCCTTTGCAAGACTGTCTGGTGCTTAGTAGGGAATGGGGGAATGGATCCCAATGATAGTCCCTTAAGGTCCCTTATAGTAGTCCCTATAACCCACTACTAAGCACCAGACAGAAGAAGACGAGGGAGGGTTGGCAGAAGATCCGAGTAGGCTTGCGGTCCTGCCATGAGGCCTGGCTGAAATGCTTCTTTGGACCAGTCCAGTCCCTTTAGGGTCCCTTTTAGGGCTCCTCACGGGATCTATAAGGGTCCTGAAATGTGTCCAAAAAGTAAATACTTTGGCGTTAAAGTACTCCCTATTTATGTTCTTGGGGGCCAAAGTAACTACTATTTGGGCACATGGACCCTGAGGGTGAAGTACTGCATGGAGCTCTGCTCGAGGTTGGGTCTTTGGGCGTGACAGTTGGGTGAGAGATAGTTACTCAAAAGTCATGTCCCAAGGCCAGTGATCTACAACCCAAATCTTTAAAGCCAAAATCCGTGTCTGCACGTCCAGCTGTCGTTGAATAGCAAACGTAGGTAGCCAGGAGCCTTCAAAAAGCAGGCGATTCTCCATTGCGGAAGCAACACTGTGCCACCAAACGAGCCAGCAGAGTTCCACGAGCGCGGTCTTATCAAACAAGATCAGTCGTGAATTTCTAAGCAATCTCCGAGGAAGCTCCGTGGCACGCTTGCAGTTCCTTCATGGGTTCCACGATGCCTATAGTCTCCATTGTGGTTGCTTTTTTTGGTTTAACCAATTATATATTAAGGATTCCATAAGGTATCCCCAACAAGGAACTACCATGGAGACTATAGGTATAACTGAATCCCAAACCGAAGCCCCAAACACTGAGAGGGTTATAGAGCCTTGCCGTAGCCCACACTGGCGGCCATGCGCCGTTTGCCACCGCTGGCAGCTGCGGTTGCGCTTGCCGTTCGCTTCAGCACATTTGCGGCTCGTTTCATAAGAAACGGAGGCTTTTCAGGGTTCGCGGTCTAACATAGGTCGAGCTACGGGGTCGGCTTCCGGTCAATATTGTTGCTTTGATGATCAGATTGCTGCTACTGTTACGACGATCATTACATTCAGCGGGCTGTTACGATTCCTAACTTAGGGGCCTTGATGATTAGAATATGGTTTGGGGTATCATATACTATACTCATAATAAGGAACCCCCAAACCCTATTCTAATTATTAAGGCCCCTACATTACCCGTCGTCGTCCTCCTCCTCCTCCTCCTCCTCCTCCTCCTTCGTCTCGGTGCCCTACTACTACGACGACTACTACTAGCACCACGCAGAACCACACATGCCCGTACTCTCGTCCAAGAACAGTCCCCAGACCTTAAGGTTTTGGGGTTTGGGGTCTGGGAAGGGTGTAATGTAGGGGTCTTAATAATTAGAATAGGGTTTTGGGGCCATTATACTATACTTATAGTAACTTAGTAAGGACCCCCCCCCCCCCAAGAATAGTATAGGCATTTTTTTTGGCCCCCATATTAGATAGGGGTTTAGGGCTGAAGAACGTCGCGGCCCCAAAGCCTGGATTTAGCAAATAAGGGTTTGGCACATTTTTTGTTGACATGACCCCACACAACAATCCCTAGCCTATAAATTCCAAACGCCACTTAACCTAGACTTGCTAATCAGTCATATTGTTGCTTAGGGTTCCATAGTATAACTATATGGCATAGTACAGAGTAGTCTAGTCTAGTATAGTCTAGTATACTATACTATACTGTACTATAGTCTAGTCTAGTATAGTAGGGTATAGAGTATAGAGTATAGAGCATAGGGTATAGAGTATAGAGTATAGAGTATAGAGTATAGAGTATAGAGTATAGAGTATAGTATAGTCAAGTATGCCAAAACCCATAGAAGCCCAGGTTGCGCCAGGGTTTCAGTCTCGGAGACTGCGGAGCACCCGGAGGCGGGATTCACTGAGGGTTTGGATGTATTTAATGTAGGGTTGAGGGTTTAAGGTTTAGGGTTAAATAATTACCAATATTATTGTGTGTGGTGGGGGGTCCTTGTAGTATTTATAGTAGAATGGGCCCCAAAACCCTATTCTAATTATTAAGGCCCCTATGTTATAGAGTTTCGTTGTTCCCTACAGGTTCCTCTATGGAGTTTATGGCGATGGGGTGATGGGGTTGATGATCGGATGTTTTATGCAATACACAGGCCAAGAGGGTTGTAGCCGGTCTGTAGGGTTTTGGTCGTGCTTTGTTGCGACTCTGCCTTTAAGCTCTGAGGATTAAACCATAAAACCCTAAAGCCCTAAACCCTAAACCCTAAACCCTGAAACCCTGAAACCCTAAACCCTAAACCCTGAAACCCTGAAGCCCTAAACCCTGGACCCCAAACCCTAAACCCTAACCTTGAGGACTTTGGGGTTCAGCCCGAAGCCCTATAAGACCTGAAGCCCGAATCCTCCTGCTGAAGTTATCGGACTTCTTTGATCACGGGGGTTTAGGGTTCAGGGTTTAGGGTTTCGGGGCCGCTAAACCTGGGTTTAGGGTTTAGGGTTTAGGGTCTTAGGCCGAAATTCAGGATATCAGGTTGAGGGTGTCGTTATTTTCGGGGTTTTCGGGTTTGAGTGTTTACGAGTTTATTGGTTTAGGGTTTTGTCGGCTGTGGGAATCAATCACGCCGAAATTCAGTTTGACACGGCGGTTGGTGCCAAGAAGAACACGAAGGCTACTACTTCCCCCAACAATCCTAAAGAGGCCCGCAGCGATGACAGCAGCTCGGTTTCATGACCTCAAAGAGGCATGCCATGGGCTTGACATTGCAGACCCCGCGACATGCGACTCGATCTTGAGGATATGCAGCTCAAAATGCAGGATGGTGATGATGAATGGGACTCTGACTGAAGTTGTTGGGTTATAGGCCTTGTAGTTCAGGCGCTACACGAAGTTTCAGAAGCTGAGGGGCCCTAATACAGATACGAACATTAGCATCCTGATTAGCATCGACTTCCCATTCAGGGACCCGAGTTTCAAGAACGAGCTGCGAGAAGACAAAACTCATGCAACACCCCGGAAAATCTGTTCAACCCCGTCTTAGAAGCCGTCACTACCCACTACAACGACCTTTGAGGGCAAAAGCTCCAAACCGCCCCAAGCTCAGGGCCGTGCCCTCGTTGCCAGTGCTGGTGCCGGGAGGGGAAGGACCCCAGTGGCCAGAGGCCCAAGCCCTTGATCAATGTAGGAGCCTTAGTAATTAGAATAGGGTGTTGGGGCCCATTATGCTATAAATATAATAAGGAACCCCCGACAATAGTATAGATTAATGTAGGGGTCTAAATACTTACCTATACTATTTGGGGGGGTCCTTATTCGGCCCCAAAACCCCTATGCTAATTATTAAGGCCCCTACATTACGAGGTTCAGGTTTGAGGCTTGCGACTTTCAGGTAAAGTTTAGGGTGTAATGAGGCGGGTGTGAGGGTTTAGGGTTTCATTCCCAAGACATAAGGGTTTAGGGTTTTGGGTTCAGGGCATTTAGGGCTCAGGTATGGGCTTCAGGTTAAATTTTGGGTTTAAGGTTTTGGATTGGGTTTTGGTTTTAATGTTTGAGCGAGCTTAGGGTGTGTATATATACGTGTGCACGTAGGCGCGCGCTGGCTTAGTGTCAGATTGCAACCCAGAAAAAACCAAACTGGTAGGGCCATACTTCAGCGGAACATCCGAAGTCCAATATCCGAAGCGTAGAACCTCACACCCAATATCCCACGCCTAACCCTAAACCCTAAACCCTAAACCCTAAACCCTAAACCCTAAACCCTAAACCCTAAACCGTAGCCTGAGCATCAGAACCATGAGTTCCCAAGCCGATGCTCTCTACTCGAAGTCCTTGCTCCGGAATACCGAAACCCCCCGAACAAAACGACCCAGGAGCCGATACAGCTGTGTAAACCCAAAGCCCCGAACAAAAAGGGCCTTGATGGCTAGAACAGGGTTTTGCGGTGTATTTATATTAGGCCTTATATAGGGGTCTTAATAGCTAGAATGGGGTTTTGGTGCGTATTTGTACTATAACTAGAACAAGGAACCACCGAAATAGTCTTGGTATTTATTTAGGCCCCTCTGTTAAGCAACCCTTGTTGAATCTTACGAAACCCGTCCTCAGCGCATCCAACGCTTATCGTACCCCTGCTTGCTTAAGCTCCAGTGAAACTCGTTTTAAAGCTCTTTCGGGCCATGTTACATTCAAAAACCCTTCGCAACCGGCATCCAAACTCTTCTTGAACCGTTTTCTCCCGATCTCCCTCACGCGAAACCCTAAACTTACGTAAGCTCGATAAAGCCCTAAACCTTAAACCCTAAAACCCTAAATCCTAAACCCTAAACCCTAAACCCTAAAGCCCTAAACCCTAAACCCCAAAGCCCCAAAGCCTAAAACCCTAAACCCTAAACTCTGAACGCCAAAGCCCCAAAGCCTAAAGCCCTGAGCCTTACCCCCGAAAGGCTGAACCCCAGAAGCCTAAAACCCCCATGCCCTAAAACCCTGAACCTTACATCCTTAAACTCTGAATCCTTCAACCTTAAACCTATTAAAGGAACCCTAAACCCTAAACCCTTAAACCCTAAACTCTTAAACCCTACTCTCCTCCAAGCCGCCAAGGTGGGATGCCAGGAACTCTGCCAGCCCTGTCGTACTGCCGCCGAAAGAAGGCCGAAATTTCAGGGTTTGTGGTTTAGAGGCTTTGGTTTAGGATTTAGGGGTTGAGGGTTTAGGGTTTAGGGTTTGTGGTTAAGAGGTTTAGGGTTTAGGGTTCAGGATTTAGGGTTTAGGATTTAGGGCTTATAGGGTTTAGCATTCAGGGTTTGGGGTTTAGGCTTCAGGGTTTAGGGTTTGGGACTTTGGGTTTAGGGTTCAGGGCTTGTCTCAGGATTGCAATAAGGACTCCTTCATAAAAGGGTTCCTGCAAGAGTTCGTTTCGGGGTTGCTTGAAGGATTCCTTTATCTAGCTGTTCCTTCAAATGTTCCTTTAGTACTGGATTTAGGGGTTCCTATAAGAGTGAGTTGTTGACGGGTTCCTTCAGAGGTTCCTTTAGGGATTTAGGGTTGAGGAGCCCCTTGAGGGGTTCTTGGCGGGTTCCTTCAAGTCTAGGAGGATTTCAGGTGGGTAGTTACCGTTATAGGAGCCTTATAGAAGGTCTATATACCTTATAGAGGCCTTTATAGAAGCCCTATATACCCTAAACTCCCCACCTGTAGTTTCCTTTAATCAAGGGTTCCTTGAGGGATTCAGGGTTCAGGGATTCCTTGAAGGGTCCCTTTGAAGCTTGGGCTATGTTCAGGGTTTCGGGATTTGGGGCCCGAATGACTTACTATTTTGGGGGTTCCTTGTTATAATTATAGTATGATGGGCACCAAAACCACATTCTAACTATTAAGGCCCCTATATTAGGGTTTGGGGCGTACGCGTTTGGTGTTTTGGGTCTCGGACTTTGGGTTTGGGATTGAGGGTTTGCGGGTTCAGGGTGTTCGGCTATTCGAAGCTGGTTCTCCAAATTAGGGCCCCTGTTTTAATCCCCAATATAGTACGGCACCCTTATAAAAGAGACCCTAAAATGGACCCTAATTTAGCGAACTACCCATTTAAGGACTGTAGAGTTTCCATGCGGGCTGTGTGCCGATGTTGTCAGGGTTTTGAAAGACCGAACCAGCCAGAGTCACAGTGGCGCACAGAAAATGATATGTTCGAGGCGACAAAGGGTCCCTTTTATAAGGGTGCCGTACTATATTGGGGACCCAAAATGGGACCCTAATTTAGNNATTTAGAGAACTACCCATATGATGTGATGTGATGTGATGTGGTATGGTACTGTGGTCTGGCATGCTCTGTGGGTCTGCTAAGTCTACGACGGGAAGGCCTTTTTAGTGCAACGCGAGCATGCCTTGCAAGCCTAGTTCCAACCATGTCCAGCATACTTAGTCGTGTTATGTTCATCTATTATATTGAAGTATCTTTCTGTCTCTTGTGACCTTTACTGCACTGACCTGCTATTCGATCTTGTGTGACATGTCATATCACTGCCTGCCTGCCTGCCTGCCTGC